CTCAGGCTGATCCAATGATCTGACATGGACCCAGTTATCGACCATGTATTACTCTGTGCGGCGGCTATCCACCAACTAACTTAAATACTTACAACAAATAAACGGTAGGTGTTTGAATGAAGCTGTTTCTTATGCGAATACAAATCGATTTATCAAGTTTTATCTGCTAGGGTTATGAAAGTGTTTGGCTGAGTAGATCGCATCTCAATTTGACCTTTCCAGGCTCTGAAGAAGGCGAAACCGCCGAAACGTCAGCAACTGTGTTCTAATAAATTCTATATTAACAACCTCGTGTCTGCTTATTGATGAAAAACATTGAGTTTTTATACATTTCTTATACATTTTTTTCTATATTTTGTACTAAGATACGTTTTATTTTCTTGTCCTCCAACCGCACAAAGAGAAATAATCCTTCTCTTGGTTTGAATGTGATTACATTTCGTTGTTTCCCTAGGATATGTGAGTAGTATTCCAGCCACATGTTCTGATTGATATGCCCTAGGACTTGCTATCCTCTGGCATGGAGCAGTTTCATTTGGAAACCACAGTGGGTCTTATAGCCTGCTGTCAGTGTGGCTTACCAATTCAGCCTAATACAGCCAATATGTGTAGTGGTTGTATCCGCTCGAAAGTCGATATCACTGAGAACATCAGTAGGACATGTAAGGGTTAGAGATGTCTCGTAAGGTTTAGAATGTCTTTACTTTCAAACACTTTTTTATATAAATCGTTTCTTCAGCAACTTTATATTTGTGTAAGTTTTGCGAACGATATTTTGTTCCACCTAACGGATGGGCTCGTGCTGAATCTGAGTCGAAGGAGTTGCTGTCGATTTGCCTAAAGAAGATGAAGCCACAATTGCTGAAGGTCTGCAAGTCATCACTCATTCAAAGATATTCTTAATGTATGTATTTACAGAATTTTTTATCTAGGTGCGATTGACGGATGCATGTTTTGTATGGACAGAACCACATTCGAAACGAGTAAAAGTCAAGCTAACCATACAGAAAGAAGTTTTAACTAGTACAATATTGCAACAGACTTTCATCGTGGAGTTTACTATCCACAATCAGGTTTGTAATTTCCTTATAAAAAGTTAATATTGGCAGTATAATTGGTATCCAGCCATAGTCTTACTTTGTCCCATTTATGGTTGCTGTGACAACTAAGGGACGCGTGTAGCGCACTTCTTGGAGGCCCCTTCAACACATATGAGGTCGATCCCTGCGCACCTAGCCCACCAAGTCTTCCATCTCTCCGGGGTCGTCAAATTGGTGCCAGACTTGTCTGGAAGGATAGCAGCATTGGCTGGGTACATCGGTAGGCCACCACGAGTTATTGTAATGAGTAGATATGCATTCAATGACCTCCAAACGATGCTTGATGAAGTCGAATGCATGGCACATCCTTCACGGATTGGTCAACGCCGAGAGCTTTACCCGTTTGTTCTTTCATAACAACTGCTGTGGTACTTGACCTGTTTCAAACAAGTATCCTTAGAGTTATTTCAAGTATTACAATTTTAGTGTCTAATATGATTTGCAGTTGTGCGATGATTGTCGTCGCGCTGAGGCTAAGGATTTTTGGCGCGCTTGTGTTCAAGTCAGACAAAAAGCCGAATTTAAGAAGACTCTGTTTTATTTAGAACAGCTTCTTCTTAAGCACGGGGTGAGATCTGATCTTCAGATTTACGGGCATTTTCGATGAACGAATCGTTCACGACATTTTCTTTTTTCAGGCGCACAGTCAGTGCACGGGTGTAAAGCCAGTGCCAACCGGAATTGATTTCTTCTTTGCTAAATTACAAGACGCTCGGAAATTCGTTGATTTTTTGCTTACGGTATTGCCTTGCAAATACCACTACGCTCAGGTATATAAGTTACACTGGTTTTTTAAGGCGTCGCCATGCAAATCGTTTCTTTATATTAAAAGAATGGTTTAGGAATTGGTCTCTCATGACACAAAGAATAATACCTACGATTACAAGCACACTTTCTGCGTGGAAATTGTTCACATTTGCAAGCTCGTATTTTTTGTTTATTAAAGGAGGAATTTGTTTCCGTTTTAATATTCATTGCCTTTCAGAGACAGCATAGTGTGCATGCCAAAAAAGGTAGCTCAGCGTCTTGGTAATATGAATCAGATTGCGATTTGTCTGCGCGTGTCCAACGTCATCACTCTTATTGATCCCACTAACCTACAAATGGCTGACATACAAGCGTTAGTCAGTATTGAATTATTGGCTATTCCTAAGTAGATCTTTTTCTCTTCAGTACGTCATTCTGGCGAGATCCTTTCAACTCACTTTGTACAAATAAAGAACTTTCTGAATTCTTTGTTTTGGACGTAGACATTGTAGATAACTTGGATAGAAAGGTTGGTTTAACGAAGTTTGTGAAACAACTGATCATCTTAATATTCTGTTTTTTGTCGAAGTTCCAGCGTACCTTTTAAAGGCTGGTCATGGGTTTGTCAGCAAGAAGCATGTGCTTGCGGATGTCTGGCTTGTGAGAAGTCACCAGGTATGCTGGTTTCGATTTATACATGAAATCAAAAGCGTACGGAGAAGGTTCGTGGATCCGATGCTTACCGTAAATTTTTTTGTATTTTCCCAGTTGCTAGTAGTATTTGAATCACTCGACATAGAATTTCATTTCTTTTTAATTTTTCCTAAAAACGGAAGTTGAGGAAAAGTTGTTGATTACTTTATATTCGGTACATTTAATGCGATATAAGGAAGAGAAATTTGAGCTCGTTGGTAAGATGTGGGCTTGATGCATGGAAAGTTTAGAAAAGCGAGAATGAGTTGTTTGGGCAAATTGTTTTGAGACGGTGGAGGCACGGAGACAGAATAGGGAACTATGTAAAAAAGAAAACTGCTACGATTCTATGTTTTGTAAGATAATCATGAGCACAGCTTTAGAGAACTAACGCTTTGTTTCTTTCTCTCTCCTTCTCTCTCTCTCTCCCTGTCTCCCTCTCTCTCTCTGTCTCCGTCTCTATCTCTGTTGCACACCAATCAACTGTTAAGGTTGGTTCGTCAGATGCACAAGTTCATTCAACGCGAACACATTTGGGACATCTGTTAAACCCCGGAGATTTGGTTTTAGGTAAGGTTCACACATATTTCCCTACTTCAAAGCTTTAATAATTTATTATTCAGCTTTTGACGTCCGTAATTGCAATGTAAATAACGATATTTTCGACGGTTTGAAAACAGAGGATATTCCAGATGTTATTATTGTGAAGAAGGTATTTCTTGGTTTTTGTTTTCAGAATTTCCGAAGATATGATTAAGATACGGTATTCATAATATTTAAGGTGTATGATAGAAGTCGGCGTGTCGCTCGTCGGCGTTGGAAACTTAAACGTCTGGTTATGGATGGAAATATTGTCGGAAATGAGACTGAGAGCGTTGCTGAAGAGTTTCAAAGGTATCGGTTGTTGACATCTCATTTCTGTCATTAGTAGTTGGATGGATCAAGAGATAAATCTTGAATTTTTTAGTCATCTGTGGTTTCTGAAACATCAATAAATACTGAATAGTATGTATCAATACCAATAAATGGTCTTTTGTTGAAGCTTTAAGTCAATATTATTTAAATATGTTACTAGGGTTTCACAGTATTGGAAGATTTTTAACTGAAAATTTATTAATTCTTTAAAAGGTTAAATTGTTTTAGATTTATGGATGATATCGAGGAGGATCCATTTATGCGCGAGAAGATCAATATTTATAAGGTAAGTACTTTTTACTAATGTGTTTCTGTGTATTATACCGGATTTCTCACTCTCCTTTTTATTGTATAGGATGAAGAACGATTGAAACATGCAAGTATTAGCGATGATGAGGCGATCCCGGATGCTCCTACATTAGCTGAAATGTTGAACGACCTTGTCTTGGAAGATAGTGAAATGCAAAGCAATTCTGAAATGGAATCACATGAGGAACTAATGGATAGAACATAGCACTTCCCAGTTAGAGAAATGAATTGCTAGCAGTTTCGCGATGATGTGTATCTATCTCAATGTGTATGGTGAAAAATCTTTGCCGTGCATACAGTTGGGCTTGTTTTTTTTTCAAGATTGAATTTTGGTTTCCTGATACCTGCAAAATGTGGTTCTTCGCTTTTTCACTGAGGTTCGTGTATTAAATACTAGTGCAGTTGAGCAACCGGAATTCCATCCATCAATCAAGTGTTCCTTAGTGCACATCACTGATGTCTGCTAATGCCTAACATTACGGGAGTTGGGAAGGAATTTTGAAGATTTAAGTCTCGTTTTCAGGTTGTTGAGAATTTCTAGTTCTAACAAACTTGAGATTTCGAGAGTATTCTACGGAAATTATGCATATATATATATATATATATATATATATACTGTTTCGGCGATGCAGCAGGATCTGTTCCATGAGTTGCTAAAGTTCCCCACTTGATAACTGTTTTATTAGTGGAGGGCTTATTGTCTTTGTCCAAAAAACTGAATTCGTCGCGAATTCGCTGAGTGCACAATTTCTCCCCTCATGAATGATTACAAACTGATGTTATTTTACTTGTTGTGCATTGCCATTGTTGTTCTTGATAGTTGATAGCTGTTTTTATAAATTACTGAATATCAAACTTTGGACTAATGAGATGGATAATGAGAGTTTAACTTCTCACGTTCTGTGCTTGGGTTGTACAGCAGAGTTTTACCACAGAACTATATAATTTTTGCGGTAACCTTCAATTTTCTTGATAGAAATCCTTCATAGCGAGCCAAACAAAACATATCCCGTGGGTGCAACGATACAAAATTCATTTCACCGTATGGTTGAGTATGATGTACGGGGGAGAAGGAGGGAGGAGGAGGGCATCTAAAAGACCACTTTAAAGAGATTTTTATTTACCAATTGAAAGGGTTTCTTTGGCGTGAGTTATTCATGTCGTTGTGGGACGTCTCAAAAGGTTCCACAGACCAGTAGAAGAAGAAAACCAACTAAATAGACATCATTTCGAAAATCGGCTTTCCTTTAACCTTCAACCGAATCAGCATGGTGTTGTGGTGAACGCGTTAACGCTATAAAAAAGCCGTCGGTGTTGATCAATACTTGAGGGATGCGCCATGCATTCGACTTCACTGAGTATCGTTGGAGGTAACTGAATGCATACCTGGCCGTTACAATGACTCGCGGAGGCCTACCGATATATCGAGCCAGTGTTGCTATCCTCCCAAACAACTCTGGTACCAATTTGCCAAACCCGGATTATGGATGTTTGGTGTACTATGGGCGCGGGGATTGATTCCACGTGTATGTTGCAGTGGCGCCTCCAACCACTGCGCCACGCCCCCTGGTGAACGTGATAGCTCACGGAAAGGTAATAGCGCGTTCGTTCCCCACCGGCACCTGCGGTCCGGAGTTCTGCAAATATCTCAGCATCATTGTAGTTGTATCACTTTAACCTTCAGTTTGCCTCTGCTGAAAAAGGAAAGTCATAAGGTGAGGGTCGGTTCATCAGTTTTCTTGAATAAATTGTGTGACACCAAAAGATCGGAATTTATGACCAGTTGAAGACCATAATTGCCTCAGAACGACTGATTTATGAATGAAGGTATTTCGTGGATCTCAAATATTGGTCAATCTGCTGTCAAACTTTATCCGTATAATATTTTTGTTTGCTAGATGTCGTTCCAACAACCATTTAAAAATGGAGACTCTGCCGCTCATTTTATTTCGTGGGTAGCACAAAACTGGGATAGAAGGAAATGAGTTGCATTTTCGATATATCGTGCTTTCTTGCTTTTGAGAAGGTAATGACGCTTCCAGAAACGCGTTCTTTGAAGGAAATTTTGACTTCGACGATCCGCAGTTATCTCAACGGCTAGCCATTGTAGACAGGGAAGATATTCTATTTTCGGATGTAAACGACCGACACCGAAAGATTTGAGATCTTGGAAATACTGTCAATCATAAGCCAATCGTTTCGAAGCAATTGTGGCGGCTTGGATTGGTCACAGATACCGATCTTTAGGTGGTACACAACTTATTCAAGGGAAAAAAAATTGGTAAGCTGACCTTATGTTATGATTTCCCTTTTTGAGCGTAGGCAAATTGTTCAATCATTTAAGCAAGTGGTCGTGAATAGTGGAAAATGGATCATACCGAACAGCAATACAAACAATAAACGGAAAAACTCATGGGGTTAAGGCGGTGAAGCTCAGTTGACCGCAGTAAATGATGGTTTTCACGGAAAAAGGCTGTGCCGTGCATTTTTCAGGATTGCTGAGAATTGCTAAGAATATATGGGATATGAAAGTAAACATCAATGAAGTAGAACTAGCCAGTATTCAATGAATGGGAAAAGTATCGTGTTCGATGACAAAGACGCTAGAGTACATTTACTGTTGGTGACTAGGCACAAACTTCTTCGGCTAGGCTGAGAGATTTCTGTTCACCTACCCTATCACCAGGCTTTGCACATCCTGCGAAATTCTTTGGAGTTCCTTCTTTGCTCGTAAATCCTAGATTTTCCAATAATAAGGAATCGTGCAGCTAATGGAAAGGTGGCAATAGGTCACGGTGTAAAGCCGCACGTACACAATTAACCTAATATTTTCTAAAAGAAGTAAATTTTCTTGCTAATTTTGCCGTGGAAAAGGAACGAGCTTTTACATAGGCTATTGCAAAGAAGACTTTTTCTCGAAGGTAATGAGCAAAGATATTGGCGATGGCTTTGTTCACGTCTCTCCACATGTTGGTGGACATTGTGAAGTTAATGCGGTACTCAAGAAATTCCTTTTTTCATTTCAGACGCTGTTTAAGAACGATGTGACACATTATACTTCCACGTGATTTCTGTGCGGTTGGTCTCTACGTACGTGACATACTTAGTGGAAACCTCATAGAAAGCGGCTCTGAAGAAGGCGAAATCCGCCGAAACGTCAGCTTGATCGTGAACAAAGAATAATAACACTTCGCGTTTGCTCAACAGGAGTACGATAAGAACGATGTGTTTGTATGCGTTAAAGAATGTTTTCTCCACTTTCTCAAGGGTATACAAAGTTGCGCGTTAGCAGAGAAAAGTGCTAAAGAGAAGATAATTCGCTGCTTTCTTGATGAGCAAAGAGGAGGCTAGCTGAGAGACAGGCAAAACGGAGGACCTGGATGGTGTGGTGGTGAAGTGGGCTGCTCCCCGGTAAGGACAACAGCGCGTGTTCGTTCCCCACCGCATACACCTGCGGTCCGGAGTTTTGCAAATATCTCAGCATCATTGAAGTTATATTTCGCAATGTATACCCTGCCGTTAAAAAGAATAGGCAGTAAATAATACGTTAGAAAGAGGACGCTGTTATTGTAGCATTTATCCATTCACAGCTTTTATTTTACTTCATTTTATTTTACTTGATTCGCCTTCACGTCTGTTGTGCGGATTCCAGCACTTCTCACATTCGATTCGTTTCCTCGCATCCATTGCTCACGAAGATCTTCCAACTTTAACGTGTGGCTTTGCTTGCTGCCTGAGAATTTCCACTTCATGCTGAATGTCCTAGAGTGCTGGTCGAGCAATTCTCCTTGGAGTTCTGAGATAACCGGGCTGAAGTGTTCCCAATTGGATTGTAGAGAGTGATTTTTTTCCCCAAACAAATCCGGTACCAGTTTCCCTACTCCGGAGGATTGGCCAGGACCAGAATCGAACTAGCACCATCACCACCAATTATATGGAATGCATTCACAATTGTTATATTAATAAACATTTATGTATTAAGTTCTATATGTTGAGGTTATGAAAGTGTTGAATTGAGTTGATTACGTGTCAGCTTGACTATTCCAGGCTATGAAGAAGGCGTAGCCGCCGATACGTCAGCTGTTGTGGATAAATAAATACTGCAATAACAATATCGGGTTTGCGGGTCGAGAAACTTATGTACTATTGGTCATTGCCAAGGTTAAAAGATAGTCGGTCCTGGGATTTGCTACATGAAGTACCAGCAAAAAAAAACGAGTTATCATCTAACGTGAGTAACTGATATCCATCTTGTGCTGTTGGTAGCACGATGCTTGAAACACGTAATTGTTGGCTTAGCGCTCTTGTATATACGATGAGAACTACGGTGTCGGTTGAAAGAGCGTTCGAGCCCGTATATGCGTACATTGTCAGAGACACGTGAGCGTAGTCACTTCACCATCGAGGAGCATCTCCATATATCCGGTTCCCGTTGATTATGACTTAACGTAATCCACGTCAGTCGATGCAGACCTAGATACAACTAATCTTTACTGAACCAGCACATCGGAAGGCGTTCCTAAAGCTCTTGGTGATAGGAAGGAATCGGAGCTAGTCAGTCTTCATCAAAAATACTTGCCATGCTTCTCTCAGAACAGGCAGGGCAGCTTTACGTATATCTAATTATTTCCTTTATTTTATACGACCTCTTCGCGTCCACCATCTACGCAGGTCTTCGAGCTAGTGGATAGAGCTGCTGCTTAAGGATTGCCGTCTTCTTTATGAATGTCCAAAACACTGCTCGAATCGATTTTCGTTGTAATCTTAGAGATAGCCGAGCTAAGGCTTTCCCACGTGAATTGGAGGAGGACGTTGAAGAGGAGGTGGCACCAACACCTTGCTTCCTGATGGACTCCATAGTTAACCACTGCGCTCTCTTTCAAGACTTATGCTGACCCTATTTCGAAATCTTTGTACCCATCCCCTCCACGCAATAGCCACCCATGCATCATGGCGGAAGGTAATTAAGTAGTATTCAATTATTGGTGATAAATAGGAGTAGATACGTAGTGGAAGATGTTGGTTTTTCGATAACTGGCGAATATTTTTTCTATAAACAGAGAAATTGAGGAGTTTAGGACTTCGAAGATATGGAGACAAGACTTTGCTTTATCGTTATCTGAATGCTATATGTTATGTATTTTATATATAAAGAATATATGTGTATAAACATTAGGGGTGCGTGCGGTGCAGTGGTCGGAGGCA